CGACAACCATGTATGACATGCAACTTGTAACAAGGAACACAATCGAAACAGCGACTAATGGTGATCATTGATAAGCTAAATTGGTGAAAAAATAGCCCCAAGGTCAGCGTGTCAGGTGTGCATTCAATGAATGGTGACGGGGAAATCATGAAAACATGCACGACACAACAAAGCGAAACATGAAAAATACAAAAAAATGCGGAGCCAAATGAAAAAATGGATAACCAGGCGGCAGTATATCGTTCTATACTCGGCTATTATCGATCGCAACGTTGCGACCGCTTTCATGGAAAAACGTCATTGGAGCGCGGTTGTTGGGCCTGCCAACGTCCTGGGGTCTTTTCGGGGGTTATATCTCTTTGAGGGGCGCGGCTTTTGATGAATGGTTAGCAGCATGCAACGGAATGTTCCTACTGTTGCGTTTTCTACCTAGTTGCAATCTGAATGTTCCCCCGTTGGTGAAATATTCCGGATGGGTTTTGGATAGGCTAGGGGTAAATGGCAAGCGGGTTTTTATGCTTCACACGAGGATTACTTATTTCGAACGCAATTTCATCAGGACCAAAACCGTCTTCCGCCCTATCTTTTCTCTTTCCAACAAGCTTTACAGTTTTCCTGAAGACCCGCTAGATCAGGAGATATTTTAGATGGGTTACCAAAAAGCTACCCTCTGAGCTACTCAAAAGTTCGACTCCCTGTGTGCCATTGTCAGGATACACCTTCGGAAACTTTAGTGTGCCTTCAAAACACATATTTCCCTTCAAATGAGTGAAAGAGGAGCTCGGCTATCACTGATCGATTTGGTCCGAGTGTGCGCCGTGCATTACGCTCCTACGCAGAGGTGGTGGAAAGGTGTAAATTCTGATTTCAGGTGCTTTTGTCCATGCAAGCAGATGTTTGTTTAGGGTTTGGGATACAATAACGCCATATTTTATTTTGACACGATCGCATTATCATTTTTCATCTTATCTGTCTTCTTGTTATTTTCATTATTTTTGTTAATAATATGATATTAAATATTATTTATTTGTTTAAAGTATCTTGATCAATTTGTTGCTGTGGTGCGTGAGTATGTTTTTTTTTTTTTTTTTTTTTTTTTTTTTTTTTTTTTTTTTTTTTTTTTTTTTTTTTTTTTTTTTTTTTTTTTTTTTTTTTTTTTTTTTTTTTTTTTTTTTTTTTTTTTTTTTTTTTAAGTGGCTACCTTAAGCATTCCTGGTCTTCTGCAGCTTTCCCGCCCCCATCAAACTAGCAAATGACACTTTGTACTGTTTGATGCTTAGCGAGCCTACACTCACCCACGTCCCCGCCACTGGCCAAAGTACGATCCCCTTCTGGGATCGCAATGAAAGAGGTGCTGTTAAATCAGATACAGTCTAATATCTTTTAAAGAATACATTTGTGTGCTTCATTTAATGTATTTTTCATATATATCCTATTCTTGGCTTCTTAATCTCCTCTCCCACTACCAGCTGAAATGCTCAAAAGCATGCACGATCGCCTGACTGAACCCTGTGAGATTTACGACCCCCCTCCTAAGCGTACCAAGTACGACCCCGCACCGTATTGATTCGCAACTGATGGGCTGTACCCTGTTCGTGCTTGTCATGCTGAAAGAGAGAAGACAATATTGGTCTGAAATGGTGCAGTAGGAATTTGGATGGAATTAATGCCTATCTGGTCTAGCTTATACGTGCTCGACAGGTCAATGGGAGGAAAAGCAAACGTCATAGGTGGACTACTGACGATGGCAAATTTTATGCTGTGGATAACATTCGCTATCAGGTCCCATTGGTACAGAGGGGAGTTGTTAGACTGTTCACAAGTTCAGCTTGTTTCAAGCCCTTCTCACTACTATTCCTAGCCTTAGAAGGCACATTCCTCACTTACTTTAGTTGTATGGCTTCTTTTATCGAGATGATAAGTTGTTCTTCAGTTCTTTTGTCGCTCAGAGGTGAATCATATGAGCTCCAGACCAACTTGCCGTGCACTTACCTCGCCTGAGCTACGACGCTACGCGCAGTTTCCTGGCCTAACTGGTGCCTCGGATTCCTGAACTAGCTCTTCCATTCGCGAGTGATCAGAGTGACCTCTGCAAATCGCCACGTCTTTAAGTTCATGCAAAATGGAAAAAAATAGATCCATTAAGAGTTAATAATCACCTATTCTGACAGTAGTATTTGATCCATACCACCACAACTTGCAATGCAACGACTCTCTAGAAACCCGACAGAGTTCAGCTTGTCTCGAAGACATTAGACATCGTCAGAACTAGTCACTTTTGTTGAAAAATTATTAGAACATGGACCTATCCAGTAATCGTGAGCCAGTCACAGTTTTAAGTCTGTGTGCTTTCAGAAATGGGATTATGCATCCAAACAACCACCAGTTCTCTCGTCACACTTGCACCATCAACATGTGACACACCACAATTCTTTGACGGCAACGGCACGGTCGGTTTCATACGGATTTGATATCGTCGCAATCATCGGGGCGGTGACAGTAGAGGTGGAAAGAGCCCGCCCCGGCAGCGTTATCTACCAATAGTGAACGGATTTGGGAGTAAAATAGTAGTGGTTAAAGAAACGCCGCGGTGGGTTCATTGTGCCAATCCCTGCCTTCCAACTGATGGTGAGTGTACGATATCAGTTGTAGTTGAGATTTTTGTAACGTGGAACTTGTAACCGTTCAATTTCAGTTCTACTCCCCGGGATACCCGGCATCCCCTCAAGGAGTAACACCCTGCGTGTATGTGCTGACAGTAGCTCCTCAGGACCTTGTTCAAATTCACTTCATAGATATCCAGCTCGGCGATGGCAGCACTATTATGACTCTAACAACAATGCTTCGTCGACACTTGCTCTTACTAGCGTATCTTTTCAAACACAATGAGAGAATCTACTCGTTATTTCATGTAATCGCTGTGATTTCAGCATAACTGGCAATGTTCCTTCTTCGCAATACTTTTCATCTTCATCGAATGTGATGAAGATGATCTATCGTGCAGGGAACAAGCGCTACCTCGTCAGCAGTTCATGCCAGAAATTGCTGGTGAGCGGCAGTGATCTCGGTGAAAACCGCCGAACGCGTTTATTTTCCTTTCACTTATAACTGACGGGTGAGTAAATACAATAGTCAAATAAATAACAGTTTTACAGCTTCAACAGTACCGTCCGTCACAGTGACCGCATCACCGATCAATCCTTCGCATTGCAACCAACCAACTACCGTACCTACAAATGTAAGTATCTTTTGTGATGCGGCACGCATTCTACTTCCATTCAGAATCGTAGTGGCTTATTGAATGCGATGTGGCCTATACAATGACTTGCGGGGCCAGCCGATGTACAAGTCAGTGTTTTATCCTCCCAGACGAATCTGGTACCAATTTACCGTTTCCGGAGGGTAGAAGGCTTGGTTGGACCTGGGCGGGCAGCCGATCCGGGACTTTACTCTCAGACTGTGCGCTTGGTAAGAGCGCCACTTGCTCGGCACTACCGTAGGCGAATAAAAGTAATCTCAAGTTTGATAAATTCTTCTGTGCTTACGAGGTTGGTTGCTGGAACTTTTATTATGGTCTGACGTTTCGACTAGATCGTCTTAATCAGAGGCCTAGTCCAGCGGTCAGCCGTAATCACCAAGTTAAACGTGTGAGTGCTGTAAAGGCTACGGCATAAAAGCCGCTAAGCTGAGAGGGTAAAAGCGGCCCTGGTGGCGTAACGGATAGCGTGAGGTACGGGTTCGACTCCCACCTGGGCACGACTTTTGCCCATTACTCAGCATTCTTGTGGAGTCAAAAGCGACCTTCCCCTCAACGGCCAAATACAACCTCCGTTCTGCGTTACAGAACGTAGGTTGTATTTGGTACGTTACAACGATGAGCCCTGTTGTTCGGAGACCCCGACATGGTTACGGTTAGCGTCAACCGCTCTGTACTACCTCTGTGAGGCAAGCATGTGAGAAGTTCGCCGAACATTGGCACTCTCAGGTCTTGGAACGAGTGAGATGACATGCATCTGGTTGAGAGCGTAGAAGAAAAGGGTGACGCTGCACAATGAGCCACGGACGTTGAATCATTTTACCAAATGCAAGCAACGTCGCGGGATTACCTCTCGGTTGATACCACTATTCACCTACAGAACGTTGACTGTATGTGTATCTGGGCGGAAGTTTTGTAGTGAGAAAAAGCGCCGCTTACTACGCGCTCAACCCAGGGCCAACCAACCCGTCTATCCTCCGGGGACAGTGAATTGGTACCAGATTCATCTGGGAGGATAAGAACACTGACTTACTTTGGCCCTACAAGTCACTGTACAGGTCATCGCATTCAATAACCCACTGCAATTCTGAATGGACGTATAGATCCGCATTCCAGAAAGGCATTGGTCAGCGGTGAGAGCTTTGCTTTTCACTGTTGCAATGATGTCTTTTTGATGAAGCCTGCAAATTAGGCGAATTTTTTAGATCACCAGTCCAGGGTATCCCGGTAATTATCCAGCACTCACTCAATGCCGTTACGAGCTCTCGACAGTTCCTGGAAACAGGTACTTTTGATTGAAAACTTCGATTTCTTTCAAGATTCATAAATCTACTCAAAGTAATTTACTAGGATCCT